GGTACAATTGCTGAGGTTAAACTCTTAACACGAGCAGCCATCGTGCACTTGTAAACCCATTCTTTCATCCGTCAAAGTCGCGTTAGCAGTAATGATGAAAATTTGTCCGCCCATAGGTAGATGGTTTCGACAGGGCAACACATGTTAAAGCAAAACGATGCATTTCGTAAGGTGGTCATATTGAAGCGATAGGTCTTCATCGATGAAAACCAAGAAATCAGTCGAAGAAATCATCGTCTGGAACCTAGCGATATTTTTGAACGAGCGATTTCTCCGTTTGATAATCCTGAAAGGGCGTCTAATCAGAGTAACAAAATTAGATCTACTGTATGTGATTGGACACAAGTTTAGAACACAGTGATATGAGCTGCTCAAAGGAGCCCGCATTGTGTGGGAAATAACTGTAGTTTATTTGTGTACACAGCATCCAACTGGGTATCTTGTGTGGTCGAAAAGGTGACTAAAGCTACCAAGCCAATTTTCCTCAGGAACGTTGTATCCTTTCCATCGAAGTCGCCAGCAACAATACAGATAGAACATTTAAAAGCAGTTGTGTCGTGAATTTCAAATTCCAAGGCTAACGGATTCATCTCCGACGACGAATAAAGGGCGGTAAAACCTGTGAGCGTTCATACTCCACAAATGTACGGTTTGCCTAAAGCGCATAAAGAAAGAACGCCCGTGCGACCAATTATCTCCATGGTGAATTCACCGTACCACACCATTGGCAAATGGTTGAACAACTTACTAGAGCCTATCTGAAAATGATTGGCAAAACACCTTATCAAATACCGAACTACTTCTTTACTTGGAGTGTGTTAATTTGGCCGGAAAGAGAATGTGCTCCATTGACGTTCAGTCCCTTCATTAACATCCCTTTGAACGAGACTGTTGACCATATATGTGAGTTTATTTCAAACCATGAAGTTCGACTTCGCCTCCCCATGGCATTATTGAAGAACATGTTTCTATTATGCACGCAAAACATCAAGTTTTACTTTCAAAGGAAAGCGTATCAGTAGATAGATGGTACATCGATCGGTAACCGTCAGGCTCGTTGTTGGCAGACGTACTCGTGAGTATGACCGGAGAGAAATCAGATAACATCATAAGACCGGAGACTCTGTTATGTTGGTGATATACTGCTAATTATGGATTCGGGTATGAACATCGAGTATGCGACCAAAACCCTCAATAAATTGCACCTGAACCTTACAGTGTGAGTAATAATGAGCAAGGTAATTGTCTTCCGTATTTAGATATACTGATTACACAGCGACCAGACGGTTCCATCAGGTCTGTTTACAGGAAGCCAACATGGTCCGGTTAGTATCAGCCTCTTACGAGTTTTTCTCCTAGTCAATACAAACGCTCCCTCGTTCGGACACTCTCCTATCAGGCCAAAATGGTTTGCACACCTGACACCAAAAAGGGATTTATTTTTCAATATGCTAATCGTTGCAGTTCATTAAGCGTGTCAGTGAAGCAACCAAGCGAGATCGTGTGCCAACAATCCCGAAGAAACCGATCTTGATCGAGCTACCTTTTAAAGGTGACCAGCTTATGAAGGTCACCGAGAAACGGATAAGAGCATCACGCAAAAGAACGTACAATACGGCGGAACTACGGCTGCTCACATCAACAAGACTTATGCTTATGTGTTCGAGTAAAACACGGACCACGAGGCAGTGCATGTCCCACTGTCTACATAAATTCACCTGTAGCAATGGAGATAGCTAGGTTATGCGTTAGAATCAATGAACACATCCCCAAATGGCTACGCAGCCGGATGTTACGACGGAATCAGTTAACTCGGAAAAACATGCTGCCTCGGCAATCACAAAACACTTACTACCGGACACCGAGTCAATCCCAATGCGCGATCGGCGGCCTCAGATGGCTAGGCAAGTGGAGACGTCATTATCAAACGCGAGCGGCCGTCACTGTGCATTCAAAACAGCTGACTGTGGTTTAAAGCCTACCGTAGTGGCGAGAATGCGTGGCTATTCACGATCTCTTTAACACTGTTGGCCATACATTTACATATCATTGTTGCGTTTTGTGGTTGATAAGAATGCGCGAGATGGCGACGTCATCTCACAATCTAGGTCTTCTGATTTTCTTGTTTAGACAAATAGAACAATCTGATTTAAGCAGCAGTATAGAAGAAACTTGGTCCTCGAAAAGCTTCAACTCTGGAGAAGATGTGTCAGGAGCAATTTAGACATTTCCAACGACGATTGATTGAAAGCCACTTAAAAGGTTCGGGTTGCATTCAATTAAATGGCAGCTTATAGAAGTCGTTAAGAATGCGCATATTACAGTTGCTGATCTGCACCAGCATCGATTAACTTAAGTTATCATGCCACCATCACGAAATGGGCTTTCCAGGGCGGCCAGACCTGATGGGAAAATAATCATCGAGTTGTATAACCCCACTTTCTACATCCGTGTGAGACCAATTTTCTTGTGCCAGAATGATTCCTGTATTTGCATACTCAATACGCTGCAGGATGGAAGTGATCACGGATTTTGACCAAGAAGCGATGGCACATTAGTAGAAAGTATCACCTGTGACTTGCGTTTTATCGACAGAACAACGACTGAGGACAGATTGCCAACCATCACAGTGCTTCCGCTTTAATACAATGTTTCCCTATAATTCGTTTGATGGTGTGCAAGACTTCCTGACCGCATTCGATGAAACACGGATGTATGGCAGTAACGCGTAATGTTCTCAAAAGCTTGACGTAGTAGGATGTGACTGAGCTTGAGATACGCCCAGAAAAAGATTGTCTCAAAGATACAGATAAAAATAAAATCAGCGGTCGGTAGCGCAAACAAATATTCCAACGAGAACAGCAGCGGCCAAATTTGAAGGCCCCGCCCAGCTCGGCGGGTAAATAAACATATCAACGACCATGATAGGCAGATTCGCTATATCGACCTGCTGCGAGCAAACATGAAACACCCCAGGTCGACGGCGGTAACCCAACAACCAAAAGATTCGTTCGGCTGTAGGTTAACCACAAGAAGCGTGAACGCTCGTGTTGAAGACCAAAGAACCTAGGTCTCTGTAGAACTGGACCGCAGCCATCCCCGCTGATATGCCGAAAGGCTGTTGAGTTAGAGATTGATTAAGTATCGTAATCGTTCACCTGTATGGGTTTCGGTGTCCTGTCAGTATTACAGCCCACGTACACGCATGGCTATTCCCCCAAAGTTCAACCACATCCTGTGCCGCAAATCGCACAGCTTTACAAGAGTTGCATTATCTGCAGCACACAGCAGGGCAGATAAACGAAAACATGCTAATGCTAAGGTTTTCCTTCCTTCTTTGCCAAATGTTACTTTTACTCCTTTCCCAACCTACCTTAAAAAGCTTCCATACATAATTCCTGGCTAAGCTGACAACAGTTGCAACATCATTGGAGTTCTGCTGACTGCACATATGCTCACGCATCATCCACTGGACTCCTCTCTATAGCACCTCCTTATAAGGTCACACTAGCCAGTTTCCCTCGCGCCGTTCAACGCTCGTACTCTTAAACAAACGGGTCAACAGGCACACTTGCACGCACGTTGGACAGATTGACTGTTGACGTGTGTTGCGTGTCCGAACCTGGGATAAATTACCATCACCTTACTTGTCCTCTCGCCGTTTGGTTACATGTAGCAGCAGACGGTGATGCGGCAGTCATTGGAGGTCGCCATCGTTTTCAGCTGAGTCATCGATGATTGGATTCTCGTCAGTGGCCGTTTGTGTGCAGTCCATTTGATATCAGCTAAGGTCTATTCACGAAGTAGTAGTGGACGCTGCTTGCTAGTGTTTACTCCTGGTGTCCCACCGACTGCAGCTCTGATGCTGCAAAGGACACCTTTTAGCACGAAGTATTACCAGTAAAGATAACGTTTAAAACAACATGTTCCCCTTATGATTCCAAACAGGAAAATAAAAGGACATAGACTGCGGAATGACGTCGCCACTTCGTGCATTCTTATCAATCACAAAACATGCAACAATGATAGGTAAATGAACAACCAATAATGTCAAAGAGATCGTAAACAGCCACGCATCCGTGCCACTAAGATAGGCTGTAAGCCACAGTCAGTTGTTTTTGAACGCACAGCAGCGGTCGCTCGCGATCGATAACGATGGCCTCGAATAGTTTAACCATGTGAGGCCGCCGATCGCGCAGTAGGACAGGGTTGACTCGGTGGTCGGCGGTAAGTAGATGCCTTGTGACTGCCGACGCAGCTCGGTTTCCCGATTCAACCGAATCCGTCGTAACAGACACCATTCGGCTGCGCAACCAATTGGGAACGTGTTCATTGACTCTGACATCTAGACTTCGGTTAGTGCGCCCAAGGTAGCTGTCCCACAGCTACAGGTAAATTCAGCTGTCCTTCAAATGATGGCGTTACGAAACTCGCCGTGACAGCAATAAACTTCTATACAGTAAAGAACTGAGCACGTGATCGGTTGGTTGTGCTTACGACATGATTAACTGTGTGTCGTCGATCGGAACATAATAAATAGCTGAGCAACTTCGCAAAATAGTGCCTTGATGGTATTGTTTGCACATTATCTAAGGAGATGAATTTACGTGTTATGTTTCAAGTAAAAATGGCTTAAAATATTGAAAATCGGATGCTCGTTGAAAGTCGTTAATATGGGAAATTATATTCGGAGATTTGATTGTAGTGAATTTAACTGTAGGATCCAGAAATCGGGATACAGGTCGCTAGACTTTATCGCCGCCAGCCACTTAGTTTCTGTGCGGATAGGCTGAAAAAGGCCGGTTACAATATACTGCTACCAAAAACATTAACAAAAGGTGTTTTTGTAAATACCATTTCAAAAGCTCGCGCGGTGGCATATGGAGTGCAACAGGAAAGCAAATCACACACATGGTGAGTCACCGTAAGGACTTTTTACAAAAACTAGTATTTTAAGTATGACATGCCATGAAAGTTCAATGCGCTGGAAAACGACCAACCTGCAGAAGTTTTGAGTGACAGCCACCGTGTCAGTTAAATTGAGTACAACGTGCCACCAGCCACCAGGGATGAAAGCTGTTTCGCCAGGGTGTTGGAGGAATTCAATTGGTTTGTACGTCTGGGGCCAATCGGGTAGCCGAGTGCGCGGATAAATGGAGACGAACCAAGTGATTGCCTCCCCTTTGTTTAAGCCACCTTCGCCTGGTTGGAACTTGATTAGTTCTTTTGGCGTTTGAGGAGGGAAGAGGCACCAACTGCATCGGAGAAAGACAGCTGCGGGTGAGATTATCGCAGAGATTCAAGAAAAGGGACCACAATGCAATAACCTATATATGGTAGTTACAGGGAAATTGTAAAGCCAAATGGTGCTGAATGGGCGATTTCAAAGCTGGTCGTTGACGAAGAATTGCAGAACAGAAGCTGAATGATTTTGAGGTCGAAAGAAATCCCAGAAAGGCGAAAGCATATATAGTTTCAGAATCTCGTAGCTCTGAAGTTTCGACGAGGGGGGTTTCGTTCGACTAAGTAGAAACACGGCCCGTGTCGGAATTTCGTAATGAAAATCGTATGGCATGACCGTACTTACGGTGACCAGAAAACAATGAGGAGTATGTGCACACAGTCTTCAAGCCATCCAAGGATGATACAAGAAAACGTCTACACGGAATGTGCGTAACATAACGGTTCGTTGGGTGTCAACATTTCGATTCCAGCGGAAAGACGGTTCAAATGAAGCAAATCTAACAGATGTACTCAAGACGTCAAAGAGAATGACAAGGCGCTGACCATACAACCAATAAAGTGAACTGTTATTCGAGGTGTGAACGACTGAGTTGCCTTAACCCTCGTTTCTACAGTGATAGTGAATCGCATAAGTAGCTAAAAATAATGAAAATAAGGCACAAACATATGGATTTGGACGGAAAATAATGTGGAAGACAACTAGCAATAGTTAGTTAGCGGGAGGAAATGGCAGCAAGAAGAAAGAGAACCATTTGGTCCTCGAGTTCGAAATACCGGAAATTACAGACGTAGTGGTGCAGTTCAGTTCAGTTTATCAACTAAGACCGGTGTGACAAGGCACAGTGAAGCATGCTACCTAAACTCACACCACCAAAAGGATCGCAGCAATAATAATAATAATAATACTTTAAGAGAAATGAGTAGAAATAAATTATCATGTAGAGTACGATCAGAAATGAGAGAACAAATTCAAAGGCGCTACTGGCTTGCGCCATATCCGACACAGTAACTGACCGTTGATGTGGCCGATTACGAAGACCCAACCAGGAAAGTGAAAACGCCGGCTTCATTCTAACCTTAGGTGAATGACATCATGCCGTTTTTCCAGCTCACTGACTGACCATTTCGAAGTTCCACACAACGAAGGGTAGTATTGGCAAACAACACTCTGACGTAGCCGACTCGCTGGCATATTCCGCATGCTAGCCCAGCCATCTCCTCTGATTAACTTTTAAGTGGCCATTCGACATTACATCCGTCGGCTACCCAGACACCTCACCTAACCAAGTGCGATAGCAGCGAAAAGTTGCCTGAACAGTCTGTCAGTAGACACATGAGGAATATGACCCAGTAGAAGTATTCGGTTCGCTAGGATGAGGCACTGCCAAATAGCAACGAAGTGAAAACTGTATTAGGTACGCGGTGCTCCTACAAGTTGGAGGGATGCTTCGTAAGCAGACAGTTGATTTCTTGACGCTCTCAAGGCTGGTGGTGTCATAGTCAATCTGAGTCCAGAGCAGTGCATCACTTGTTGCGTACCAGGTAGGGTGCAGAGAACCTCTGTACTGCGAAGCTGAGCCGCAGACACAAGGGCTGCGGTCGGCACAGTTTAGAACGTCGACTGCAATCGTCAATATCGAAACAGCAGTGTGGGAACGGTCACTGAAAAATTGTCCACTCTCCGGCAAGTGGTCCATATGAGTACCTTGGACTGCTCAGCTACCAGAACGGATCCGCTTAAGTCGATTGACTGATGGTGCATATCCAACTGTCTTTCGGGGGTATACTTTTTGAAAGATTTAGCAGAGGACCCGTCGCTCTCCGTTTCCGGCGTGGACGCCTTGGTAATATAGCAGTCCAACTACCAAACATGATCTAGATAAATAATGATAAACTCATGCTGCATCGACCGTCACGCAGCGGGGAAAAAGTCATCCTATTTGCTGCATACACAGTGAGTGCATAAGCAAAAATGCTACCGCTGGCGCCTCCTTTTTGTTTATTCCCTTCCCCCCTCCCAATTCCCATTTCACCTAAGGCACCATGTCTATTACAACCCCAACTTTCCGCTTCATCGTTGCCCCAGCGCAATTGTATGCCTCCGCGTGAAGCGCTGGAACATGCGCACACTGCTCGCCCGGAACACGAGTGAGTGACCAGAGCGACGCAACGCACTGATCGCGATAGAACTCGCAAACTACGGGATCGACCGTGCCGCACTCCGTGAGACTCAGCTCGTTGACTAAAGCAAGCTGCAAGAGGATGGTGCTGGTTACACGTTCTACTGGGATGGATATGAACTACAGCACCACCTGAATATGGGTTGGATTTGCGCTATTTCATCGACTAAATGGCGACCTGATGAAAAAGTCGACCGGCATCAGCCCAAGTTATATGATATTTAGTCTACACCTCGGACTTGGTAGGTTTGCAACTTCTATTAGTCCGCATGGTACTACCCTGTGTTATCCTTATGACTCAAAGGATCAGAATTACTCTCAGCTGTCCTCCGCGATATGACCGGCACCGACGAGTGACCAGCTATTTCTACTGGGTGATTGTAGTGCGCACGTTGAACATGAAGCCGCGGTGGAAACAAACGTAAACGGAACGCATGATGTTGGCTCAGACAATGGGAAAAATGACGGTCTACTTTCCTTGTGTGCCACTCGTGGCCTGATAATCGCAAACACACAGTTTGCATTGGATGCGAGTGATATTGCCACTTGGACGAACCCACAGAGTGGTCAGGTTTGCCTGCTCGACTAGATCATCGTACGCTAACGTAAAGTGCGCAGGACACGTGGACTGCATGTAGCTGAGTGTTGGACTGATCACAAGATGGTGCGTAGCAAATTTTACATATATTTCCGCAAATCTATGTATTGTACTGCCAACATGAACCGGTAGTGATTTAATGTTCGTTCTCTATATGATGTTGAAAAGAGGAGCGAATCGGTAGGTGCGATGACGAATCATCTTGGCGATGTTGACTCCAGTGATTCAGACAGCCGTTTTCCAGTTGCAGCAGAAACTTTTAGTTCATCGGGAATAAAAACGCTGGAGGGGCCCAACTCATCGAAGTTAACCACCTGGTGCTGCAGCACATGCAGCCGTGTGTGTCTCTGCTGAGCCTGTCTGGTAGGTCGTCAATGTGGCCACGAGAGACCATTATCAAAGAGACGAGAAGTGACTTAAATGGGTAGATGCTCGCACTTGGTAAGTATGACGCATCTGACTCGTTTACAAACCCATGTCAATAGTGCGGTAGATGAGAACGTGTGCCATACCATAACCGCTGTTCAGTTGTTAGTAAAATCGGTATAAATTATATGTACATTTTCAGCATTTTACAACAACCACTGTGGAAGTTATAAAACTTTAGTTTAAAAATTAAAAATAGTACTTTCGGAGAAAATGGCATTAAGAGCACAATCGATACTCAGAGAAATGGTCCCGAATCCGCATGCTGTTGACGGTACAACGATGCGGACGAAGGTTTCGTAAGTTAAAATACGCTTTCTGATAACTTTGCGTAGCAAGCGCAACATCTCAAAGTCTGTTCTCAAAAAGGCGCGGAGGGCAGCGTCAATAACATTGTATTAAGTATAGTTAACAAAACTGGTAAATCCACAGTACATAAAGTAACAGCGGTGTTCATTGAAAAGGCGACGGTCGATTTAAAAGCCCCGCCAGTTCAGTCGAACAACTATGATCCGAGCAAGGAAGTTAGGTAGATTCATCATCATCATTATACACGTTAGCTAGAGTTTGGAAATACCTCAGCCATTGTGCCGCAATAAGGTTAAAAACATGCAACAGGCACGCCAGCTGAGCCAGCAGCAACGGATGAGCATCGTTCCGGAAAGCTACCAACCGGCTATTGTGCCGCGAAAGAGGTTATGTTATGCGAAGGAAATTTAATCGCGGTTGGAGGGGAGTAACAAAGAAACTCGCAACACAAATGCCACTGAGGTCGGCTCTTCGCCATATCAACAAGTGAATCCAGCCAAACACGCTCAACTTTTTTCAGACCCCAACCAGGGGGCAGAGATGCTTTAACTAAGGCAACTTCGAAGTAAGGGTCTTCAATCCTCTTGATTAAGTCATCGTTTGGACTCCCATCCTCTTGTTTCATGCACACCCCAGGAGAGCAAACAACGCACGTCGCGGAAGTCGGTGTGCTGACATACGCAACACGTGGCCAAGCCATCGGAACCTGGTGAGAGAAATAACGGTTCTGAACGGCTCACTTCGTCTTTCTGTGTCATAAACAAGACGTCGAACACGCTTATCGCTCATCCGGTGTTCCCACCAGCTATGAACCAGACTGCGAAGGCACCGGTGGCCGAGCGTAATTTGCCTCTACATCTGCCGATCTAAGGGGTAAGGGTTGCGTTAGACTGTACTAGAGTAGTAGGTAGGCCAATCCCCCAGTCAGGAAGAACGAGCAGGATGAGTACGCGGCAAACACTGGAGTTTATTCCACAACAAATCAGCCTGTACAGCCTGCACTGGTTATCGTTCGATCGCTCACGGTAGTTGATTTCAAATCAACACTAGTCTGTTAATCGATGTCATTCCAATGCGTTACAATCTAGCCATTGGGCATTAGCTAGATTTGATCTTGAGCTCAGCTTGTTCGGGTCTTCGGGGCAGATGACTGAGTGACCATGATTCACCAGTTCCATTGGCTTGCGCTCGAGAAACCGTACCCTTCTAGCAACCAGGTTTCACAACTGTACAGTAAGGTCGAACGTACGGCTGTATTGTGCACTCTACCCTTCAGAGAGTGATGTGCCGGCGCCATAGGTGGTGAAGGTTAGCAAGGGCGCCTCGAGCTTGCGCTATACAGTTGGTGACCTCATCGATCCCACGGCCGCTGGTACAAGCGCCTATGTAATTGAATTTATGGACGACTTTTAGATGATCCCTATGATAGATACAGCTGCTATGATTTGACTGCAAACACTTATATCCAAGATCAGCTGGCCAGCCGTAGCCGAGTTGT